CTCCAGGGAAGAGTGAGATGGGGCAGGGCGGGCACAGGTTCAGGGCTGGCTGGCCTCCCCACGGCCTCGCGGCCCCCAGGCCCCGTCTCCCCAAGTCCTCGCTGAGCCTGAGTCCTCTGTCCGGGCCAGCCCTCCTCTGGGAGGGCCACTGAGAGCCATCCCAGATCCGAGCACAAAGGTGTGAGAAAACAAAACGAGGCAAGAAATTGGTGAAGAGGATGGGGCAGGAGAGTGAGGGCTGGACACGCGGACCCAGTAAGGACAGAATGGCCCCGCGAGAGGGCGCCATGCCCAGCTGTCTGGGTGTGTGCTTTTGAGTGAGGGAGAGGAGCACAGGCAGGGGAGGGAGAGGGGAGGGGAAGGGGAGCCCTGCACGGCCATGCGAGAGCTGGTGTGTGTGAGGTGGTGAAGTGAGGTCGAGTTTCCTCATGGAGGCCCCGGAGAGGCTCTGACCCAGCACCACCTGCCCCGTCGCCATGCTGCCTGCCCAGGGTGGCCCCCTCCAAATTGGCAGGAGCCCGGGAGCAGGAGGGCTGGGCCGGGGCTGCAGCCGGAGGCTGACCAGGCCTTGTGGTGGCTGCACTGCTGGCCAGGCTCTGTTCACCTGTTCAACTCTGACCTCACACAGAGAGAGGTGGGCCTAGGTACCCCCTCAAGGACCCCCAGAGCCTGTCACCCTGGGGCTGACACCCTGCCCTCCTCACCTGTCATAGGGACCCTCCAGTGCATGAATCAGGCCTTCCCTGGACTGCTCAGGGGCTAGGAGACTTTGGGGGACACAGAAGACTTCACTGACCACACACACACACTCACCCCTCCCAGACCCAGCAGGTCCCTCTGTGCAGGGGCGTTTGTGTGGGGTCAGGAGCCGCAGTGTTCTCTGGGGGTGCATCTGGGGTCGGGGTGTCCTCACTCGGAGCCCCTGGAAGGGGAGGTCCCACTTGGGCCTCACTTAAGCGCGGCCGTATCTCTGTTCCTTCTTTCCTGCCAAGGACATGGTTGTCCCAGTCTCTAGAGCAGCGGTTCTCAACCTGTGGGTCCCGACCCCTTTGGGGGCCGAACGACCCTTTCACAGGGGTCGCCTAAGACCATCGGACAACATATAAATAATTACATATTGTTTTGTGATTAATCACTATGCTTTAATGATGTTCAATTTGTAACAATGAAAATACATCCTGCATATCAGATATTTACATGACGATTCATAACAGTAGCAACATTACAGTGATGAAGTAGCAACAAAAATCATGTTATGGTTGGGGGTCACAACATGAGGAACTGTATTAAAGGGTCGCGGCATTAGGAAGGTTGAGAACCGCTGGTCTAGAGGGTGAAACGGGCTTGGAGGGGTGGAGGCCTGTGGGGGTGTCAGCGAGCCGCGGTTTCCAGCCCAGAACTCGGGGTGTTGGGTGACGCCTG